AGCTCGTCTCTGGAAAGAAAAAGAGTTTTAAGCCAGTTAACATGCCATGGGGAAGTATGGCATGTGGTCAGTCTGCCTCTATTCAAACAAGCCTCATCTCTGTTGCTATGGAATTAGTGCAGAGCTCCCATCGACAGTGAAATCAGCTCCCTGCTTCAGTGCCGACTGTCAGCAGCTTATCCAGGTGGAAGAGCTCTGCACCCCTCAGTCCCTCTATCTGCATCAAGTGCTGAGCACCCCAGCAGAAATATCTCCTTTTCTTCCTAGTGCTCAGAGGACATCCTCTTGATCAGAAACAGAATCACTAAACATATACTCCCCATCCTTCCCCCACCATCTGAAAAGGGCTTGTAAGCTCTAGAAATTGGCAATCAGAGAACAAACGAGATGGAGCTGTTAACAGCAGGCACACAACAGTAAGTGAAACAAGCAGAAGGGCTCTGGAAAGCTTCAGCCATCCCCATGGCTGCTCATAGGGCCTGCTTGGCTCTGTACGAGGGACTGTGCCAGCATGGGAGCCTGCCCTTACAAGCAGTGACTCTGGGCTGGCACAAGTTCCTCTGTCTATGCATAAGAGATGGCTTTCTGCCCTCAAGAGCTTGTGGGCATGGGTCCCACAGGACACGTGGGGTAGCTATCTCCTCCTCCCTCCCCCACAGAGTTTGGCAGCCAGACCTAGCTCGGGTGGTCTGAGTTTATAAGCACCCCATGGGAAAGGCCTTGAGGCTCCTGTTGCTGGGAGTTGGACAATATGGAGCCAAGCGCACACGGCATAAAGCATGATACCAGCTGGGCCAATTTGCTACCCGTGCCAAAGAGATTCAGTGCCATGAGAGCGTCTTTAGCCTGTTTCAGCTCATGTGGCATCCCTCATTGTCTGCTGGTGACAAGCCCTCCCTATTCTCTTCAGCCCACTGGCAAGAATTACTTACCCTCCCCTTTTTCCCTTTTCAAGTATGTGTTAATTTATTTACCACTCCTGGAGGATAAAGAATTAACATACATCACCAGAATCCAAGGCAACATGAACAGGTACTTGTGGGTAAGTCTGCTTACCTCTGGGATCTAAAGGAATATTGTATGTGTCCCCAAGAACTACAAAGATTAGGCAGAGCAGAGAGAAAAGGGGAGGGAAGAGAGAAAAAGAAACGCAAAGTGCAAAAAGACAGGTTAGAGACCACCATCCCTTTGAGAACAAAGCAGATATTAACACAGAGCAGCCACAGACAGCTACACAGGAGAGCAGGCAGAGTACCTCCAAGGCCACAATCAGAGCAGAGATCACAGGGGAAAGGCAGAGTCCAACCTCCTTCCCCTGCCAGAGACACTGTTTGTATTGTTATTGTTTGTATTTAGCAAGACACCTCATTCCAAATCAGTTCAAACTCACTTTCAAGGCAATGGAAAGCTTCCCCTCATGCCAGCAGCAGTTTACTGGTCCTTGAAATGAACCACACAGCCCATATAACCTTCCCAAGGATCTGAGCAAAGCCATCCCACCCTCATTGTGCACATTAGCTTCCCTGCATGGCTATACAGGGCCCTACAGAGCCGTTCAGTGGGCAAGAGCAAGGGATTGGCATCACCACACCTAAATGATCAACTTTGCTTTTGCTGCCACTTGAGGGAAACGTCACAGAAAAATATGGATGTATTTCCCACCACTTGGGATCATTGTGGGAGTGATCTAACCCAACTCCAAACAGCCAGACCTGACCTAGTGACTGGAAGCTGTCATTAGAGAGGCACCCTTGGGGGCAAGTCACCATCCCAAAGCAGATGCCTCTGTTCACAAAAGCAACTCTCCCCTTGAACTCCACTGACATAATCACCTCTGATCTGACGACGTCAGGTCCAAAGCCTGACAGCGACCACAACTTCACCAACATTCAGTAACCAGCATCACTCAAAATGAGAACAGCTCTGCCCTGCCTGGGTGCCCCGTGGTGAGCTAGGTCTAGCTTTTGGAGCAAGCTGCAGAGCTGTTTCTGCATGAGAACAACGCTGGCAGAGCATCCGGCAGCAGATGGTCCCTAGGGCCTGACTGCAGACAGAGAGAACATGATTTACAATATTTGGATTGTGGGTCATCTCACGCATGGCTCTGAAGTACAACATGTCAACTCAAGGTACCAGATCTGTTAGTTAACTGATTTCAAGCTTTAATAATTGAGGAGACCACAAAGAGGCATCCAAGGGTTCATGAAGGAGCTGGGAGCTGCTGCTCTGCACAGAACCAAGACTCATGCTCTAGCAGATAGGTTACATGAGACAGCAGCTCTCAGCTTCTGATCTATGTATTTCTTTCTGGAATTAGTCTCTTTAGCATCCTGCAGAGCAGAGCTAAAACTTGTCTCTCTGTTAGGGCACATGGCACATGAATGGCTCAGGAGTCCCAGCTTGATCACGGCTAGATGCTGAGGAGAATATTGTTGCTGCTGCTGTTATACTCTGACCAGAGGAAATGTCAGAGAAAGGCAGCAATTCATCAACACACAGCCCAGCTAAAGCTAACTCAGCTGGACCAGCCACCCTCCCTCCAGTACAGTCACAGAGGACCAGCCCAGTGCCAGATTTGAACCTAAATGACAAAGACATCCTCTCTTGATACCACAAAGCACATCAGCAATAAACACCATCCCAAGAGTACCTGATAGCAGCAAATGTGGAAGGCCAGGAGGGAAACTCCCTTGGAGTTCTCTAGATAACCAACTATATGGTCATGGCAGATTGGAGGACAAGACATACCACAGGGTGAAGGACAGGAGGAGAACAAGCTCACAGCGCATGATGAGGTTTGATTTTTTTTAGGGAAGATGTCCAGACAATTTGGGGAAGGAACTGCATGCCCAAACAAGCCCCATGCATGTACGTACCTTGTGATGCCAGCATAGCACCTGCTGTCTCCTGGAAATCCAACAATTGCTGTAGGAAAAGGATGGCCTGGAAGCAAGGGAGGGAAGTTATGACTATATAAACAGTATATCTCCTATGCTCTGCTGTTAAGGATCATGAAGGACCACTTGTCTCCCTACACTTAAAAGCCTTCAAGAAACACCCATCTGAGTTTCTGGGGTTTACCCACACAGTCACATTATGGCTTAGCAAGGGTAACTAGCTCATCTTTCCACAGAAGCCAGTTAATTGCCCTTCCAATACCAAGACAGGTTAACTTAAGAAATTTCCCTCCTGCCCTTTTAAAAACCTCTTCAGAAGCTGTTTTTCCACAAAGGATGGTTCAAAACATCATCACATACATTGCTGGTGAGTTCATGAACTGTCCCATCTTTTGGCATGTTATATTCCTTGTCCGGATCATTCTAAGAAGGGAAGAGAGAGAGACATAAGGTAAGCGTGTAAGAAAATTGAAGGCATCTACAACTGCTGATGCAAGTGAACTGTAGGCTGTTTATCCAGCCTCTCTCAACATCCTCAGACCCGTCCCTTGCAGTGCCATCTCCTGGTGCTCAGAAACCACAGCTCCTATACACCAGCAGCTCAGAACCACTGGGATTTGTTCAGCATGTGACTGGGAAATGTTCAGCTCACCTACCAGGCAGTGCATTCACCAAGCCCACCTTACACAGGAACAGTTTAACACGAGCCCTCAGAAACTATTCCAGACAGCAATTTTCCTTTCTTTTTAAATAGGATTAAATTCTGAGATTGACTTCATAGCTGCAGAGGCCTGGAAGATCACGTAAAATTACTTGTAGTATGCCTGTTAAGGGCCTGTTTGAAATCAGTACCAAGCATTTGGTGTTTGCAGCTGACTGTCCAAAGTGTGGCAGCAAGTTCCTGCTTTAGAGTCAGAAATTATGTGGTCTCACGGAAAGCTGAAAGCTAAACTAGGGGTTCTGCTCAGAAAACCCCTCTTCCAAGCCTGCTGGTCTTGCCAGAGAGAACATTGAGGAGAATCCTACCTTAATGTTGTCTGCAAACTCTTCCAGTGCCTTCGCACCAGTGGTCTCCATGGAAGTGATCAGCCCTGGCAGTTTGTTCTTAGTGCCTGCTGCAGTTCCCTGGAATAGTTCCGTAACAGATCAGAGAAGGAACACATGAACTTTCATCCAGCACCTACCCTCACTGATCCCCCACCCCAGCATTTCATTCTCAATTCCCCATGTGCCAGGAGAGTATTTACAGCACCATCCTGCGTTCTTCTGTCAGCCACAAATTGAAGATGTGACCAGGAGTTGCTGTCTCTCACATTTGCTCTTACATAGTACCTGATACAAGAGGTTGGTGCATCACAGTCACTAGCTGGAAAAAGATGGAAAGGACCCTTGGTAAACCTGAATGCCATGTTTGATACCTGGAGAACCTTGTGGCACAGTTCGAGCAGGGTCTCCTCAGAGCAGCCCATCTCCCAGATGTCTCTGAGCACAGTCTAAACTAAGCTCAACAGTATCAGAGATGAAACACCTCAGAGGCCATGTATACAGCAGAATAATGTAGATGATCCATCAGTGGGGCATGACTTGGACTCAAAAGAACTGCTGTTGAGAGATGCTGAATTGCTGCTTCCCCATCACAGAAAGCAGAAAGCTGCATTTATGTCACTTCCCATCCACGCTGGAGGACGGAAGCAGCACAGCTTTGTTCAAAGTCACTGTGATAATCCCTTTCAAAAAGTTCTCCAGACAACCCAAGCCACAGGTCCCTCTCCAATCCCATCACGCTTACCTGCAAGACCTGATCAAATTCTGGCTTCATCTGCTTAAGATGCTTAAGGATGGGGAAGATTGTGAGTACAGCCGAATAGTCGTGTCGGATGATGGCTTTCCGGGCAGCTGAGACAATGTTATCCCCCTCCATGATCAGGTTATCTAATGATTCCTGCAACAAAGCCAGACAGTCAGAAGATCTTACAGCAGCCTTCCAGTACCTGAAGGGGCTACAAGAAAGCTGGAGAAGGACTTTTCATAAGGGCAGTTAATGACAGAACAAGGGGAAATGGGTTTAAGCTGAAAGAGGAGAGGTTTAGATTGGATATTAGGAAGAAATTCTTCACTGTGAGGGTGGTCAGACACTGGCCCAGGTTGCCCAAGGAAGTTGTTGATGCCCCCTCCCTGGAAGTGTTTAAGGCCAGGCTGGATGAGGCTTTGAGCAACCTGGTCTAGTGGAAGGTGTCCCTGCTGATGGCAGGGGGGTTGGAACTGGATGAGCTTCAAGGTCTCTTCCAACCCAAACCCTTCTATGATTCTAAGAAAGCAGCATGACTTTTGCCCAGGCAGCACAAGGGGCTCAATGCAGGATACCTTTTAAGGATGCCAATTTAGCTGATTTGTGGTACCCAGTGAGTGACACTGAGCACATGTTCTCCGGGGTCTGTGCAGGCCTTGGTTCCCTAAACAGGTCCTTGAGGGCAACACTAGCAGTGGTGGTGCTCTTGGGCACCCACAGCAGGTAGTGGAATACGCATCCTCACAACGAAGAGGAAGGGAAAAGGACTTTGTATGTGTCCTTTACAAGAGAAGCCAAGCAGAGAGGCTCAACTAACCTGGATGAGAGAATCGAAGGTCTTCTTCTGGTGGTGCTCTGGGACGATTTCTGTCAGGAGCTGGTATTCGCTCTGGGCCAGTTTGACAAAGGCACTAACGCAGTGAATGTACGCGTCAATCTCGATGTCAAAGACGTCGTCCCTCCCTGGAAGGACAAGATGGCTTTAAGGGAGAACAAAATCTACACTGAGCTTCCAGCAGCTCTGCTCACTCCAAGGCCTTGGTTTACACAAAGAGCACAAGATTCTTCTGGAAAAGGTGATTCTGGCTTTGCACCCATCCTTGTGTGAGAACAAGAGCCATCTTTTCACCAGACTGCCCCCTGGGTTTGTGCATGAGTCACGCAGAGTCATCTGCAGTTCAGCAAAGAGGCACATCAGGACACCAGCTCTTTCCAGCCTCACGACAGAAGGCAAGTTTGGAGCTCTTCTGGGATACAGACTAAACTTAACCAAGGGCTTGAACACAGAGTACTAAACTCAGGAAGGTCTGAGGTGAATTATTCAACATCTCTGCTTGTATTGTTAGAATTCCTTATCTCCATCCATCACGCAGATGAAGAACTGCCATTTTGCATCAATGTTTCTGGGAAATTAAGGCTGTTTTAGAAGGCAGCCTCTTCCCACAGGCAGAAACAGCAGATAAAAACCAGGCAGATGAACATTTAAATCCTATGAAGCAGGAACATCAGCACAGCTGTGAGCTATCTGCCACACAATGCTGCATACAAATGCAAATATTTGAGTCCCAGCATACTAATGTCTCCAAGATCCACCAAAGAACCTATATGGTAGGCATGAGAAGTGGCAGTACGATACAAGGGCCCACACCAACTCATGCCAACTGCTGGCTGGATGTGTCAGCAGGAGAGACACAAACAGATTCACACCATCCTGCATCACTCAGACTCCTGTAGTAACCACTACAGGACGGTAAGATTATAGAGAAAGGCTGTCTCTAAGCTATGGGCTGCTGCTTCTCTCCCCCCAGCAACATCTGAAGCTTTTGATGGAGAAAGAACCAATTCTTCCCTAGGCTGACAGGTCCCTCAGGTTGATCTTTTAAAAATAATGGTCAGCAGGGGACACAGACACGTGATGCAGTTTTACAGACTGCCTACAGTGGAGTGGCCCACATGCTCCATGTGACCCCTCTCCTGTCTGCTTCACTCCAGCACTGAACAAGCCAGTAGGTACCTATAGGAAAGTGCCCCTCAGCATGGTGGCCACCAGTCTTTGGTTGGACAAAGTTGGGCTTCCCTGTTTGAGGGCTTGGGGTTTGTGTGATTAGTAGGAGTGAATTCTACTGAGAAGAGCCAGAGCTTCTTAGCCAGACAAGGCCCATGCTCCAGGACTGTCCACGCAGATGAACAGCCACTGGCTACAAAACTAGTGTGAAACATGCTGAAAAGAAGGGATGTTATCCAGCTTGTTATCAAGTGACAACATGGTACTTACCAGCAGCTGGCCCATGCTTGTCGCTCAGGGTATCGGAAAGGTGTTTAACTCGTAAATCATGCTCATGACCTAGTGAGATGTCAGCCGGCACAAACAGAAGGCGCAATTTATCCAGGGTGGTTACAGCATGGATGCTCACACTGGCTGGAAGCTGCTTCAAGCTTGGCTTATTTGATCTGATGGACATGGTTTTTTCCCT